ATAGAGTGAAAGAGGTAAATTTCTCCAAAACACGTGTGGGTCTAAAGCTTATTTATCTGAGAGAAAATACCTCAAAAGATACTGAAATTTAATCACATCGAATCACCAAATCAACCATCTAGAAGGCCAACTGAACATTCCCAGAAGGCCATGTATGCTGCTTTGTCCAGCATGTCACTCTGTTTGACAAATACAGAAGATGGACATGGCCCAGCTTTCTAAGACAGGTTGCAAACGACCCAGTAGGCAACCCTACCCGCATTTTACAATCAAATCTAATATGTGATCAGAGGATCATGTGGCTACGCTCTTTATATACAGAGAAACAGGTGAAAAAGACTTAGGAAATTCACAGAAACGTTCAGCATCAAACTAGTATTGTATGTGATGGAAGGAGGCCACAAAAAGTAGAGTTTACCAAGATTACTGTAATCACCTGCTTACAAAAAATAGTTATGCACAATTCAATAAAAACAGTTCAAATGCAAGGAACCAGGACCTATTATTACATGGCTGAGAAAAGTTAAACACGGTAAAATTGCCAAATGAGCGTGCTCTTTCTTGGCACTGCTGCAGGAGCTGTTCAAGAAGAGGATCTGAGCTGGTTTTCTGCCTGAGCTATACTTAAGTTTCTGGATACTTGCTTTCACACACCTGTAATACCAGATGCTCTGGGAAGCATCCTCTGAAGGCTTTGAAGGCAAGAGCATGAGAACCCGCTTCCTCCTTTCAGCCCAGACATACTTGTTTGCCCAGACAGGGACACCCCTATCGCCTTCTCCACTCCAGGGCAGAAGAAACATCCTGGGAAGCTGCAAGCCACGACACCCGGCTGGCGCCACGCTAGCTGCTGTGGCCATACTGGTTTGCGGGCATCGCTGCAGGCAGACACGAGCATCGCTCTGCAAACGTAAAGTTGAAAATATCTTGGCCCCCTCGCCAGATGTACCAGTCCTGCCTCTAACTCCCATCGTGGTCCACTGGTTGCTCATCTGTGCAACCATAGACTTAAAAACTTCACATAAAATGAATGTTTTATTACTCGGACTATTACCTTTCTAGTTTTTCAATTATGAAACAGATCTGCCAAATCACCTCAGCCTTTTCTTGTGTTTAATTTATTTAAGAACTATGCCCGCGAGTAAACTAGAAACAACTATACAAGCAGCTTTTCCCCCAGAGGCCAAGTCTATCCCTTTGCCATGCTCCTACAGTTGTAACATTGTCACTTTTCTAAATGAATGCAGCATAATTAGCTGTAACAAAAAAAGTTTATGAAATACCCAGGGCCTGGGGCCCTCTGATTCCCATAAACTTCAGAGCTGGATGCTCTACGATACAATAAGCAATTTCCTTCATCTTTTAATGCCCTCATGAATCATTTATTGAGGCAGCCTTTTACAAAAAAACCTCTCATAAAATGCAGGGCCTGCACCAACAGTCGTCACACTTGAGCATAGACTTCACCGCTCGCAAACCAACACACGCTCTGCAGCAGCTTCCTCGTTTCAGACACTTCCCTCTTCCTCTCATCTTACACAGAAGAACAAGGACTCATCTTCCATTGTCTTTCCATTTTTCAAATATGCAGCAAGCAAGAAAAAATAAAGTGAAAAATCTGAACAGTTTAGCCCTTTAAAATTGCATATAGACATTTCTTCCTCTACCAAGAATTTGGTGGGGTTTTTAGACTCCTAAATGTTGTAACACAAATGAAATGGTTGAGAGATTTTTGTTGTTGGTTTGGGGGGATTTTGGGTTTTTTTTTTTTTAATCTGAGGGATCTCAAAATTTTCCAATGCCAACTCAGAAAGTAATTTAAAATGCTGTAATGGAGCATTTTAACCCAAACACAAAGTGAATTGGTGAAGAGTAAAATACCCTTTTCAATGCCCTCACAAACGTCTCAACAGTTCAAAAACTGAGAACTTCAAGCTACTGAGAAGAGTCTCTGTTGCTGTGACAATACAATAGGGGAAGGTTTAAGGGACAAAATTTCCTATTTTCTCTCCTAATTCTTCTCCACGGCCTCTATGGTGGCCATGAGAGCCAACCCAGAGCATCACCACCACGACCACCACCACCACTGTCAAGCCTGGAGGGAAGGCATGGAAGAAGGACACTGCAACACTATGAATGTTAAAGATGTTAAAGCAACCACAAAAATAAGCAGAAAACAGAGATTTCACAATAGTCACAGGCGGGAAGGAGGGACTCCTGTTAAGCAGAATCCAAAAATGCTGAGTCCCCAGCTGAAGAGAGCTCAGCATGGGATTTCCAGGACAGTTTTGCGTGAGGGCTGACAAAATGTGCATTGGTGATTTCTTCTGTGTGTCCCTCTAACGAGTCTGCTAATAAGCCTTCAGTTTGTTCTGTATGGAAACAAATGCTGTTTTCAGTCAGCTCCAGTACAGATTTTTAAAATATTTTCAGAGCTAAAACTGGGGAGAGAAGAGTGAAAATCTTGCAGCAGATACTTCTTTGATGACAGCAGTTTACTTCACGTACTTACAAACAACGACATCTTATTAGTCAGACAGAAAAGCCATACATTTAGGAGTAAAGAAAGCAAGCGCAGCAGCCTGCAGCACACACTTAAAAGCACAGCAGGCCTTACAGCCTGGAAAGGAGCAATGCTGAAAATAATCTGGGAGCCCTGGCAGAAAGTCAGCCAACCACAAAGGAGATTTACTCTAACCTTGACATGTGATATGGTGGTAACTGCTCCTGGAAGACTGGATGTCTCTTTCTAAAAACATGTTCCAGGTCAAGCACGTGCTGACTGCAGAAATTACTGCGCAAAATCCTAAATGTATGGCCTCTTCATGGTCTGAAGCACTGACTTTATGGCTTCTAAACTGGACTACAGCCATATGATTATGCTGTTCTCCAGCCGTCAATCTATTGACCTGGGCATTTAGCAAAGGGAAGGGGTTGCGGGTTTTTTGGGTTTGTGTGTGTTTTTTATTTTTAATTAGAATTAGCAACGTGCTTTAGAAAGGAACAATTATAAACTCCTCATCTGTGGAAACTGTAACATAAAGACATGTTCTGTTAAAACAAATTTCAGACTTTCTCAGAAACATGCTAATAGGTAAAGAACATTCCCCCCTCCACAAGCAGGATCCTGAGGATATCCGCACAGGAGGATACCATCATTCAAGAGAAACAGAGAATGCAGGATTAAAAGGCTTGTTTCATAAAATGCCATGAAGTACCCTCTGCTCAAATCCATAAGCCAGCGCCATCTCATCTCAGACTTGTTTAAAAGGCTAGTGATGAAGTACAGTCATTTTACAAGTCTTGTGGGTTACTCCGGTGCATCAAGATTGTTGCATAATTTCTTATTTCTATGTCTTGAGGCTTGCTCTAAGTGACATAACCAGTTCTCACCCATCAGTCCTTCTACAGGGCTTTCCCCCCAAGTGCTGTGAAAATGAAGCTATGTGCCTCTCGCTGCACTCAGACTGACCAGGTGTCCTGCAGGGCACTCCACAGCTGGGATCTCTCCAGAAACCCAACATGGATTTGCTTCCCTCTGTTTTCTCCCCAGTCCATTGCCTGTGACAGCAGTCCCCGGTCTCTGCACAGCAGTAGATGAGCATGGGATGGGATTCAAACAGGCAAGGCCCAGTGGCCGGGGAGATGCTGGCACCACAGCAGACAACCCAAGGAGTTGCCTGAGCGGCTCCGTGTGCTGCAGCTGCTTTGGTGAGTGGGGAGAGCATTGGCCCTCAGGCTCAGCAATGCTCATCTCTAACAGCTTCTACGCTCAGAACAAAAGTTTTTCTACTGGGTATTGTTGGACTCATACAGGGTCTGATGCTGTCAGTACTGCCAGTGCTTTTGGGGCAGCAGCAGCAATTTGGAAGCTCTCAGCCTTTTGGGGTAAAGGCCTGGGGCTCAGCAGACTCAGGCTGGTCATACTAGCTGCGCTTTGCTTGCTTGCCTTTTTTATTTTCCAAATCTTATTAGGATACTTCCCACAAATCCCAATCTTGCTTTTTGAGTTACTTTGTATCTTCTAAACTTTAATTTAGGACTTGCACTGGAAAAGAAGATGGAGGCATTTGCCCACCAAGTCTGAGGTTGTTCATACAGCAGTCAGGGTAAGTCGTATCAAATTTTCATTTAACATCATCAAGCACAGGATATTAAGCACAGAAATGCCACTTCACTATTCACAAATGCTGCTGTTGTTAGATAAGCTTCTCTCCAACAGCAGCATGGCAAAGAGATTGCTTTTCAAAGGTGGGATTGAGGCCGGAGTCCCTGACTAAAAGAATTTTTGGGCTGACAAATCATAACAGGCTGCAAAAGAAACCCAAAGCAAGCTTTTAACGCTCAAGTCATGAGCTCATGCAGTCCCTAAATAGCTTAACAATAAGCCACTTTGGGTTATCTGGCTTCATTTCCTGGTGATGGAAGCGAGATTGGAAGGGGAAGAACAGCGTATTCCTTTACTGGGCACAGACACTCAACGCTCTGTTTCTCTCAGAGCACGGCTACACAATTCAACGCAACTCAAAATTGCACTGCGAGTTGCAGTGCCAAGTCCTGCTCCAGAGTAGGAGACTGCCAAATAAAATACAGTGAAAGAGTCAGCATTCCTTTGTAAATGGATGTACTTGATCTGTGGAGGACTAAGCGTCCATGTGACTGTTAGTGCTGAGCAAAATCTGGCATTGTGGATGAAAATATTGTTTGCATTTCACTTTGCCCTTTCTAAATGTAGTAGTATTTCTAGTGGTGTTAGTTTTGATGTGGAGCACTACTTTGCTCAACAAGAGATTTGCAAGAAGCAGGAAT